GTACCTGTCCTCAAATTGCTCTGCTTTATGGCAGTTATCTCCCACACTGGGAAGACCTATTAATAAGCAGTATGTTCAAAACAAAAATAAACAAGGCATTAGGCTGAGATTGTCCCAGTGTATTCTTTTGCTAATCTTCTTAGACATTAGCTTAAATGATATTAATTTGGATATATAATGTAAACAGCTAACTGAGAAAGATGTTTTTAAAATTCCTCCTTTGGGGGTCTCACCTACCTTACAATTCTACACCAGTGAGTGGGTCTCCTAGCACAGGAATCCAAATCTCTTTTAACCACTACACCCATGAGCAAGATATTCCTTGGAATGACAGATGCCATGGTGCACTCAGGGCAACTCTGAGCATGCTCCTAACTCTCCCATTTGAGGTACCTCACCAGAATCCAAGAGAGATGTTATTAAAAGTGATAGCAGCAGGAACAAATCTCTTTCCTTAAAGTTCAAATAACAAGAGTGCTTCACATGGCATGTGGGAACAGTGGGTTTAGCCTCTCTTTAAACATAGGCAGTGATGCAGAATTCAGTAATCCCTAAGGTTCTTAAAATAAAAAGCTGTGACAATCAGAAGTTCTTTGTTATGTTGGCTCTGAATTTATCTCCCTATAGTTTCCCCTCATAAATTCTAGCTCTACCACTTGGGGTTGGGTAGAAGGTTCTAACCCCTCTCCTTCCAGTGACTAATTCAGTGGATAAAGATAATGACCATAGACACACTCCTATCAGCATTTCCCTACACCTCACTCTAAAAATAACCCACTCTTTTTCATTCTCATGTGGAATGGCATGCTTTCTGTCCTTTCTCAAAGTCCTGCTTTTCTTTAAATTTGAGGTTGCTCAACAAATGTTGGTCAGGTTGTGGAGAAAAAGGAACTCTCCTGCACTGCTGATGGGAGTGCAAACTGGTCCAACCACTATGGAGAGCTGTGTGGAGATTTTTTGTACTACTAAACATAGAGCAGCTTCCATATGATCCAGCAATCCCACTCCTAGGTATCTACCCAAATGACACAGAAACAGTAATTCTAAAGGGCACCTGCACCCTTATGTTTATAGCAGCACTATTTACAATAGCTAAGCTATGGAAGCAACCCAAATGCCCAAAAATAGATGACTGGATCAAGAAGATGTGGTACATATACACAATGGAATATTACTCAGCAATCAAAAAAGATAAACACATGCAGTTTGCAGCAACATGGATGGAGCTAGAAGGGATCATGCTCAGCGAAATAAGTCAGAAAGAAAAAGAAAAATACTGGATGGTCTCACTCATAGCAGGAATTTAGAAAACCTAAATAAGAGACCAGGAAAAAGATTAATCAAAACAAAGTAAAAATCAAAATCAACAAGCAACTCTAAACCAGAAACACACTATAGGGTGGGGGGGGGCTGGGGAAAGGAAGGACTGGAGTCAAAATAAGGGGGGGTGCAATTGTATGGGGGAGTAGAACCAAAATGAAAATGCATACATTGTGCAAAGATGAAAAAAGATATAAGAATTATATAAAATAAAATATTTAAATAAAAAAAATTTGAGGTTGCTGCTTAAGAAGAATTTCATTCTCATCAAAGTGTTTCACAGCCATATTCAAGCCCTACGGCTGCTGCTGGTTTTAAGAGAAAGGATTTCCCAAGCTAGTTTTATGATTGCAAAAGAGACACCAGACCCTTCATACATATTCCTGCCGCACCTATATATACTGGAGAAGAGAAAATTTTAGGATTTAGCTCAGGGTCCCTCTCTCAGAAGCTTCTACTGATCTACACAGCCTGAGTTAGTCAGGTCTTTCATGGCAATCCTCCCTAGGCACCAGGCACCATGTCCTATAAGTCACTGATTTTATGTATCTATTTCTACCATCATTTCTAGCCCCTCAAGGCAGGTACATGCCTTAATCATTTTTGTATTCCTGATGCCCAACACAATGTCTGAAACTTGGAGGCATTTAAACATATTCCATGTGAACTAATGATTGTAAGTACACACACACACACACACACACACACACACGATTGCAGTAACATTAGATTGGAGAAGGAACAAGCAAGTCCCTAAATTTACTCCTGACCAAAAATCTGGAGCCGTTCAAAAAACAAATCCATGCAATATCTGTATCATGGTAAGAAATTCAGCCTGCATTTCATGTAGCTTGTAAGCAAACAGATACCATTTAAAACTAACACCAAAACAATTCCATGCATAGCAATTAAGAGGGGGAGTGAAATGGTTCTGAGCAGGGTTTCTGCAGAGACAACACAGCCACAGTATTCCACCCAATCAGCGCTGGAAGTGGAAGTCTGTGGGCTAAGAGGCATACAGAGTGATTTTACTGCTTCTCAGCAGGAGAGTGATGGGGGTAACAGATTAGAGCAACAACCTCTAGGAATACAACTTCTTTTTCCCAGTACAGCTGCTTGATGCAAACCTCTAATTTATTTCATTTTATTGTCTAATTGCACCTCAAGGAACACTGCTCAATGCTCTCTCTAGCCCCTGAACAATGGTCTCTGTAGCCCCAAATGCTTAGGGATCAGAAAAAATCAACTATAAAAAGGGAAATCTTCTCTAGGCTAGGGAAGATATTTTTTTTGTGACTAATAAATTAACAGGAGAGAAAACATTTTAGATTCTAAGACCAAAGCATGTGCTTTCTAATCACCAAAGAAATATTTACCTTTGATGCAAATTTAGCATGGGTAGAGAATGAAAAATTTGCAGCAGAGTCACAGACAAGGCAAAATATAAGTGAAATTAAAATGGAATAAAATAATTTCTACACTGCACTGAAATCTAAATATCTGTTTACTTGTGTAAACCCAAATACAAACAAGGAGAAGAAATTAACTTTATTGCAGGAATATCTAAATTTTGAAATAAAAACTTCACAGAGTACTTTCTAAGAAATAAAAATAAACCTTTCCTTCAGATGCAAAAGTATGTCTGTGGGTTTTTGCCTGAAATAAAATACTGGCAAGATCTTTTATTTCAATTAGTTTGCAAGATAAGCATAATTCCAAAAACTTAACTAGTTATTCAGTGGTAAACTACTCTGTTCTCCAAAATTTCCTCTTTTTTTTAGCCTTACTTAAGAAACAGAAAGTTTGTCTTTGTTTAATCAGTGCACTATCTCACTTACTACCTTTAGTCTGGGCAGAGGTTGAAAGGTGGACTCAAATTCTGGCTCCTTGGTTCTAAGTTCCTAAATAACTGCCTAATCTGTGATCAACAAAATGGCACTGGCCACCAGGCAAATTACAAATTCCCTCTGGGGTGGGAGTAGGAGAGACAGCAAATGATAAGGGGTGACTAAAGAAGATTGTGTGTAGACAAATGCTGGCACAAACTAACAGATGCAGGACTGATTATAATAAAACATGAGGAACACCAAAATTACAGGCACTGGGTAAGTCCAAGTAAAGTCATTCTGGGCATGTATGTCAGTTTTAGAGACTCGGTGCTATAGAAGGAGGATGGGCAGAATACTGGTTCCAGAACTGGGAACAGTAATAGTTATTAGCTTGACTAAAGGTCAGATGCTTTTTACAACCATCCAGAGGTGAGGAAAAAATAGGGATCAATGAGTGGGGTAAGTGACTGCACAGCATTGAGCATATGAGACTCATATCTAGTTGAGACTCAGGAGTCTCATATTAAATCTCTTACCTGGTGGGTACTTACCCTATTAGTGAAGTCCATCTCAAGGACATAGACAGAATGGCCACATAGGTAAACACTGCAGAGTCTCATTTCACAAGACCACTAGTGGTCCTTTGGCAATTTCTTATATTTTTTTCTCAAACTCAAATGTGTTTGTTCTCTCTTATTTGCTGTTTCCTTTACTAGGAACATACTAGGTTCCGCTAACCCACTCATCATCCACAGCTTCACTTAAATATCAGGAAGGCCTTTTCTAACTATCCTGTGAGTTAGTTCTCTGTTACAACAAGCTTCTCTACCACCATGCTTTGTTACTCTTGTCACACTGGTCAGTATTTGTCCAGACACAAATACTAGACTAGTATTTCCCCACTAGTCTATGAAACTCATGCTATCAGAAACCTTGTTCACCTACACACTGCTATACCCCCACATGACTGGTTCAGAGGAGGCACAGAACAAAAATTTGAATTCGCCAATTAATTCATCAGGAGGAAAACTAAAAAAAAAAGTAAGGGAGGAAGCAGTTACAATTTTATTTGAAAACTCACACAAACAGCAAAAATAGAAAAACTAAGGCAGCCCCTTGGCACTGTTATGGACTAAATAAAATTGTAGTTCGTAGGTACAAGAAATTTGTGACAACCTCTTCATTTAACAGGGTTTACATTCCCATTCACTGCCTGTTAGCAAATTACCTAAAACAATTCTCTGCACAATGCAGTATACACTATTCACCATAAACCCAAATATCACTTGCTATAAACAGTCTCAGAATGCAAGAAAAGCAAGAGAAAAATGGCAGATGTCTCTACCTCCACCCCCATTTTTTGAGAAACTACTACCTTTTCACAAATGTTTTACCAGATGATTTACATTATTTTAAGTACTTAATACACCGCCACGTAAGGATTAATATTCTCATTTTACTTCAAAAATTAAGACACTGGGCCATAAACTGACTTGTGCAACAACTGGTAGAAGTGGAATGCGGGCAAAGGCTGGCAGGCTGCACAGCCCTCATCTCCATCATGCCCTGCTGTCTCAGGCCACCGGGGTCCTGTCAGGGAAGTCCTCTAAGACAGTGACTAAAACGTTCCCAGAAACATCTGGGACATCACTCCCCACCTTCTCCCCTTTTCTTCCCATTTCATCCCAATGTCCTATATAAAAATATACCCTGAAAAGAGAGTAATTTTAAGAATAACAAAACATATTCTCAGATACCAGTGGAGTAAAGAATCCCTTTTTCCTTCTCTCTTTTCTGCTTAATATGCCTAGTAGTTTGATGCAAAGGGAATTCTACATGGTGAAATCTTACCCTCTCCATCTCTTTGAAGTCATCATCTAGCTTGGTTCCTTCAGCTCCTCCAACCTTCTCACTCACTTTCTGTAGGGAATGACCACAAAGGAGATTGATTATAAATAAGCACTTTTAAAGTGTTACAAGTTTTAAGCACTTTCACAAACATCTTAAAATACAATCATTCTTGGGGCCTCCTTAGTGGCGCAAGGGTTAAGACGCAACCTATGAAGCTAACCGCAGCCACTGCAGCACGCGTTCGATTCCTGGCCAAGCCAGGGAGAAAACCACATGACCTCTCCTGACTCGCCCGCTGTTTCTCTCAGCAGTGTATTTCAGCCAGTCTACCTGTTCTGTTCCCCACTCTGTCTTTGGTGAATCCTCTCACCTCCAGCCCCCACACCTCTGGCCTGTACCACAGCTCTTGTAGGCATAAATAAATAAATCTTTTTAAAAAACACAATCATTCTCTGGTATAGATGGAGAATCACATTTTCACAAGAGAAAAGTGTGGTTCAGAGAATTTAAACAACATGACAAAGGTGATACACCTGGTAGGTATACTGAAGCAAGAGTTCAAACTAATTTCCTGATTTCAACCTCAATGCTTTCTATTATATGAATCATTATGTAACTACCTAATCACTAACATTTCCTTTTGAAAGTTATGAGGGGCAACAGCATCACATAATCATTTCCTTCTGGTAATGGATTTAAAATGACACCTAGGCAGAAAATTGCTACTTCCTCAAACTATTCCTCAATGGATTATTGAATAGAGAATCACAAGTATCTAGCAAACTGGTAAGAAAAAAATTCAGCCCAGCTGAGCTTCATATAAAAGGATTCTAGCTGTCAACATCCTTACAGACACAGACAAACCATACAGAGAGACAGTGAGGGTATTTGCTACCCAATCATTTTCAATTATAATACATTTTATATGTCTCAATTTATATATGGTAAAGGGCAATTTTCCATATGTAGAATTAATTTCCTTAAAAAGCCAGATAAAGGGCCTCCCTGGTGGTACAACAGTAAAGATGCAACCTATGAAGCTAACCACAGTCACTCCAGCACTAGTTCGATCCCCAGCCAGGGAGAAACCCACATGGCACAGCAGACCTTTCCTGACTTGCCAGCTGCTCCTCTCAGCAGTGTATTTCGGTCAACCTGCCTGTTCTGTTTCCCCCCTCTGTCTCTGATGGATCCTCTCACCACCCACACCTCTGGCCTGTACCCCCGTTCTTGTATGCATAAATAATCTTTTTTTTTAAAAAGCCACATACATATTTTTAAAAAGCCAGATACATATTTAAATCTTTTTTAAGATTTATTTATTTATATATATTTTGTTTTAAAACAAAGATTCAAATTAAATCTAATAAAAATTAGACTAATACAAAATACATAAAGATCACAAGGAAATCCTTTGGCTTCATTAAAGAAAGGACTACTAGTGCTAATTACACAAAACATTCATTTCTCTTAAAATATTCCAATTATAAAGGTAGTTAGTTGCTTTTCATCAGGATCACATGTATTATATAACATTAGTATGCATAGAATCAAAGTATGATTTTTTATTTCCTTCAAAAGCCCCTGAGTTGAGGGTCTTTGAAGAGGGACCCCACCACAACCAGACCTGTAGTGATGTCAGTAACACTCTGGGTCATCTTAGTGGGTTTTATTCACCTCTTTCTAAAGGGACTCCTAAATACAAGGTTCTGTCTCTTGGCTATGGAAGATGTAATATCCCCTTGGAGTCTGAGGTGCATATCTTACTCTCTGTATTTCACTCCTGCCTTCCACCATCAGGAAAACCTATAGCAGAGATCAATCTTGGAAGATCCAAGGGTCTGAATTTTATCATCACTCTTAGCCTGTTAGTCATCATTCCTTTCTCCCCAGCATCAGCACCAGAAGGAATATGTCATGATAGAAAGGCATGCCACTGACTGAGTCTTCTAACTCTTTGAGGTACATAGAGTTGTTATGAAAATTAAATGGCACAATAAATGTAATAACCTGTGTCATAACCTACAATATAGCAGTAAATCCTAGTCTACCTCGCTGAGCAATAAAGTATATCTGTGCCTATATCCCAGTCTCTCCCATCAATTTATTTAACTGTTGTTTCATAGATTGAAATTAATCTAACCATTATCATTAACATAATAAATCTTAGGTAGATGAAGTCTAATAATTATTCAAAGTAAAAAGACAATAAAAACAACATTAACATCTTTAATTTGTAAAGCTGACACATACTTTTACTTGTAATTTATCAGCTACTATGTATACATAAGAACTATATAGAGCAGATATTATTCCAGTGTTGCAGATCAGAAAACTTAGGGTTGCCTAAGTTAAACTACCTGTCTATGGTAGAGATCTTTAGCTAGGAAGAAATGAACCCAAAACAGGACCTGAAGGCTATTTTTACAAACTGTAAGCATCTCTGCAGTCACACCACAGTTTTGAAGAGCTGTCCATGGTGCTTATATTTCCATCAGATGGCCAGAGGTAGATTCACTGTCTTAACCTTGGTCCTCGACATCAGTCCTCTCACTTAACCTGTTTCCTAGGTGATACGAGCTATCAATTATATCAGTAGCCTGCAGAGATCCAGGCTTTGTTTGTTATCACTGCCACCTAATCCAAAGCTTGGACCAACTGTGATTTGTTTGGTCCACCAGTCAAGATTCTTTGCCTGCTTTCATAATGATTATTGTCAAACTAAAATGGGGCTTAGGGAAGCCTTAAAATTCAGTTTAGAACCCCCTAGTGGGATTCTAAATGCCAGTGACCTATATATTTAGGTATAAGTCACAGAAAATTAGGAATAGAAAGGGATTTAAAGGTCATTAATATCAATTTTTCCCCACCAGTAAGCAAATTTTACTATAATTTTTCCGCTGATTCCCCCCCCCCTTCTCATTTTGGTCAGTAATTTCAGCTCATATTTCAGCCCTCTCATGTCTTCTTGAAGTTGGTGTTTTCAGTTAAATCTGGGCTGGAAAACTAATCTAGCTGAACTCCTAAAATAAGGAAATATATGTTACACAGCCCCAAATCAACCGTCTCTTTTTTTTTTAAGATTTGTTTATTTATACAATATCTGGGGTACAAGCCAGATGTGTGGGAAGGTTGAGAGGATTAACCAGAGACAGAGTGGGGAAGAGAACACATGGACTGACTGAAATACACTGCTGAGGGGAGCAGCGGGCAAGATAGGAAAGGTCTGCTGTACCATGTGGGTTGCTCTGCGGCTGGTGGGGATCAAACCAGCACTGCAGAGGCTGCGGACAGCTTCACAGCGCTGCGCTCAACTGCCTGCGCCACCAGGGAGGCCCCATCTGTCTCTTATTTCTACCTAACTGTCTCCAATGTCAGGGAACTTATTATATCCCAACATTGCAATTTGGTTAAAGAGGATCATTATAGATAAATCCTCACAAGGAAAAATTCATTTTCATTTGCAAAATTGCCACAATAAACATGTAGCTGAGAAATGTCTCCATTTATAGTAACATTAGAGAATCCTAGTATGTCTGAGTTAATCCTATTTTGATCATCTCTAGGGAATAAAATACGGCTATCAACAAAAACTCAAGGGCTTGTATCACAGTTTTAATCCCATACTGCTCTACTGAGAATGATTTTAGCCCTTCCCCCCTTTTTGGCATCCATCAACAGGTTAGCACCACAGCAGCTGGCTACTGTCAAGTGAGTTACCAAATGGAATTGTTTTTACCATTAATAATTTAGGAGTTGTCCAGAAAAATCACAGTTGAGATAAAGTCATCAGACCAGTGGCTATAAATATCTGGTTAAAATTAGTGTGTGTGTGTGTGTGTGTGTGTGTGAAGGGGGGAGGTTGGGGAGAAGGGAGAAAGACAGAAAAAGGAGAAAGTGGGGGGAATGAATCATTTTCTTCTCTATAAAAGCTGACATTTGGGCTGCTCTGAGAAAGACAGTTCACCAAACAAACTGAGGTTAGGAATTAGATGTGGTATGGTCTTGATTGGCTGGCTGATATAAAAATGTATAATTTAATTACATTCTTAGGAAAAAGAAATATTCAAAATGATAATCTATGTTGTTCTCTGGGCATCTTATTTTTCAAGACACAAAGGATCTAAATATATCAAGGCATTGAATTACACAGTAGGTTAAATAACAACTGACTCATTCCTTAGGAATATGGTAAATGTTTTCTTCTGTAGCTCTTTAAATAACATTACTAAAATGTCTATCATTTTATGTGTAAGAGTCAAATTGAAAAGTTCAGGATCCCTGAGACCATCTGGCCAACACTGATTTTTGGTCTCCTTACCTTTATTTAAAAATAATTTTACCCTATTATTTTCCATAAGTTGGTTCCCTAAACTATCATAATATAAAATATTTTCTGGTGCTATTAAGTATACACTGGTGATACAGGTACAATATTTTCTGGTTATATTAAGTATATACTTGCAGTATGAAAAAAGAATCATCTATTTTAACAAACTTCAACAAAGGATAAATGAATTCAATTAGTACAAATGAACCAAAATGTCCCCCATATCATCTATTAAAAACATTTCTGTTAAAAAATCTCAAATGTACCAATTTAGTACAATAGTGAGAGTTCCTATGTCCAATTTCACCTGCTCTTACACTCTCTAAATACTCTGTACTTTAACCAAAACCAAAATCACATCTTATTCTAATTTATTCTTCATTGTATTCCTCACAACAGCTATTCAAGTAAAGATATGAGGAACTGAACTACAATGCACTTTTGTAAATATTATTATCAAAATGAATCAGGAGATGTAAAGCAAAGTAAATGAGACTGAGCCCCTCACTCTCTCTCTTTCAAAAAGCGTACCTTTTCAAAAAAATTAAAATAATGCAAATAACCCATTTTAAATGAAAAGATTTGTTTGCTTCTAATATCTGCAGTGGAGTTGGTCATGCTGACTATTTTTTCCCACAGAGCAAGTAAGAAAAATGTCAAAGAGAATCAGCAGCAAGAGACAGCTTAAATAAATGACCACTGTTCCCAGCCCAAAGGATGCTGCACTCTTTCCAACCAT